ACACCTTGCCATCGTCCTCTGACACCGACTGGTACCACCACCAGTTGCGATGGCTTTAAGATCGTCGACATCCTTTTTAATAGCCGGTAAGCACCATCGCGAACAGAGGAACATGATCGTTGTCGTCAAGACCTTGCATCCACTGGAAAAAGCGAGGTTTATCTCGTCTGGCCTTTGGAGGGAAAGGCGACAACGGACAAACCATGTCCCAAGGACAGCTCGAACCATAGTCGGCCACGTAAGAGAGAAGCAATGAAAGACAAACGAGCAAGCCAAGAACGATCAGACATCAGTGCTTCTTTTCGTTCCGTCCTTCAAACTGAGCGTTGTTGGGACTTCAGACAATCGGAGAGACGGCAGGATGAAAGAAAGCGCGCCAAGCGCCCCGCTCTAAAGTCTCGAGAACAGGCATTGGCTAGACGAGCGGCACGCATACGTTGCTCACTACCATCGAGCGGCTAATTGCTGATGACGCGCGACGTCGAGCCAGTTCTGTATCGCGTTAGAACATGTTATCGACTTCCCACATCTTGTTCTTCATTCCTAGTCTACAACGATACTACGACCTAGAGAGGCATGAGGTGAGGAATGACACAACACAACCCTCACCCTCTACCTCGGTGCATAACAATGAAACCGTATAGCGTCTCTTGTTCTGTGTGTGTACACATAGACTTGGACAAAGCGGAGGCGGCAAACTGAATACAGAAGAATTTTGAGCATGGAAGCAGGACAAAAACCCGCAAATATTGGGATGGAGTCGGTTAGAGACACATCGATTAGAGGACGGGAGGGCACAAGGAGGGTTATCAGGTATGTCAGCCAGTACAGTGCGTTCAAATCAGGGAGAAGACTGGTGATATTCATGAACAAGTCTTGAGCGCTTGAGCGGGGAGGTACAGGGAAAAGTCATAGTCTGCTTTGTGCAAAGAGAGATCTTCCGTGTATCTGGGTGACAGGAAGTGGTGTGTAGGACGGCAAGTCTCATCTTTATCGTCGCGAAGTGATGGAAATCGAAAGCAACAGAGAGTGATCTGGCCGGACAGCGATGAGAGGAGATTAGCCTCGACTTGCTCTGAGCAGTGTCGCCAGACTCTGAGGAGAATCGGAGTGGTGGCATACGACGTGTCGATCAAAGTAAAGGGGAGTCTAAGAGGGGAGGTTGTCCATGAGAGTGACGACGTGGGTATATGATAAGCCCACGTCTGTGGTGATGGCCATGCAGGGACGTGGAGAGTGACGTCAGAGTGGGTTAGTGTGGGCGGGAGGTATGCGGAAGAGGCGGGACACGCGTGCAGGACACGAGCATAGTCCTCAATCGAGTCTAGATAGCATCCTGCCAATGGCATCGCCCGTCTTCTTCTCTCCAGATCTCCCACAGCTCCAACTATTCACACCACGTACTCCGTTGCAGGAATGGTTGTCATTTTCAAGACCCTCCACGGACTTGAAAAGACGAGATTTATCTTGTTGTGCAGTAATGCGACGCGCAAAGGAACGTACCATGTCCGAGAGGAGCTCGAACCAGCTTACACCTCAAAGAGACCATACGGGTGTGATAGGTACCAAGGACGAATGTGGAGAATTGGAACGAGCATTCTTTTCGTTACACCTTTGCTTGCCGTAGGAAGAATTCGCGACATGAGGATGACAAAAATCCCCGGATTACAATAGGCACCTGCCCTAAAGTTTGACCATTGACGTCACCGGTCCGTTATCCTGTTCGGTTCGGTATCAACCGCGAATGGAAGGCTTCAAGTGGTGTTGCTAATGCTGCACATTCAACCGGAAATAACTGTGACTGTAGAGTCAGAAATAACTTATATTTTAATGAATTACACCGCACCATCAATTGTTTCCGGCACTTCTTACCAGCTCTCATCGCGGCCGCCGCAACACTGTTCTCGTTCCTCGGACTAGATTCATCTTCGCCGCTATCGCTAAGGACAAACACCACTCCACAAGTTCTGCTCTTGTTCTTTAAATGAAACAGGTTTATATTTCGGCAGACGAGAAGCATCACGATCTCTCTTCTTCACCAAGACGATCTCGAGCGGAGGATAAGTCTGTAACTAGGGATGCAGACGGTGCCACTCAACTGCGTTTGGAAAGACGACACACACATTCAAAGAAGGAGACGTGGTAGTAGGAGATGAGCTACTCACGCACGCACACTCAGCACTAATGTGACATTGACTCAATTCACTCTTCCAACACGTTCCGCCACTAGTTGCGACAACTTGAAAATAATCAAAGTGAAGTCACTCAACTACGATCCATGTAGGCAGGTGGGCAGGGGACTACCTCGGCATACCAAAAACCGGCGGTTCCAAACCGTCACGTAAACTCGTATTCTCGATGATCTCGAGTGGTACGTGAAGCATTGACCGCGCAAAATCCACGAACACCACTTGTTTCCGGGAGGTGGGATGAATAATGTTACATGGCCGGATATCTCTCAGTACCAGTCTCCTTGTATTTATCCCATTTATTCGGGCAAGAAGAATTCGGCGTGGTAGCCTGCGTGGCTGCGTGGAGCGTGGCTGCGTGGCTGCGTGGTCATCAGCGTGGTCGTTAGCGTGGTTGACAAATTAAGGGACTTTGATCAAAAGTTGATCAAGTCTATCAAACGCGACTTGAGTCGACGCGTTCTGTTCTTTTCTGTTAGTACTTGCATAGAATAGCTGGATTGGGAATTCCTGAAGGTTTAAATATAACAGCTTTAGTTTGATATTAAAATGCTTCAAAGTATGGTCCATATCATAAAAATATCCTTCAAACTAGATTGCCAAATTTAAGAACATTAAAAGTATTGTAGCTGAAGTAAATAATTTCACGAGTATCCTAACAGTATAAAAAGGCCTTAGAGGTGGTTTGCCAAGCTAGAAGCAATAAGGTGCACAATGTGGGGTTCCCAGTCGAGCAGACATGATGAGAAGGATACGGAGTTCTATACTTGATATGAACGACACCAAAGAAACAAGTGAATTAAGAGGCAACTATACGAATGATACACTTTCTGAGGGCAAACTTATATCAGTCTGTGTGGTGCCTGCATGGTCTGCGTGGTTGCGTGGTTTGTCAGCGTGGCGGTGCGTGGTCAGCCTGCGTGGTGTGCCTGCGTGACTGCGTGGTTGCGTGGCTGCGTGGTACGCTAGCGTGGTCACTTGCGTGGTCCAGGGTATATCCGTACATAAGGGAGGGCTGTTCTTGTGGAAATTAAATGTCTAATTTCGTGGTATTGGCACAATCAAGGAGCTATCAACGTAGAATTAATGTTCATACGTCGTGATGTCTTCGAATTAATGACTTCAAGCTAGGAAAATGAAAGAGTATCTAAATTTCGATATTTATCCTTCTCACAATCATATATAGATGCATATAAGATGTAAGGTACCTAGGAACCCGAGATTTGAAGGTTTAAAACCTCTAATTGGCAAAATTGAAGCTTTGAAATATTTTCAAACAAAGGTCTGTTTGTTGCAGAAATTTACCAATGAATAAGAAATCGATACAAGTATATGTTTAGCGAATCATTCTTATCATTGCGCAGTATATATGTACAGTTGAGGTAAGTTCAACTAAGGACTTGCGTGGCATGCGTGGCCACGCACCACGCACGCGTGGTACCACGCAGGTGACCACGCTGAATTTCTAGTGCCCCATTTATTCCACGAATCATAGGGATGTACTAAAAGGGTGGGTATATATCAGCAGCAGGTTCACGATGGGGTCTGGACAGACCTCACGAGTTCCTTTGCATTGCGGAGGTAGTCGTCGTACAGATGTGGTAAATGTTCGCTCTCAAAAGGATGGTGATCAGGATATTTGTAGCGAAGCTCTGGGAGAGTCTGTCCTTGAGGAGAACTGCACGGGCGGACTCGCCATTTGGCGTCACGAACTACCGTCGACGGTCAGTTCTCGGTTTGTATTAAGTAGGCTCAGATTTTAAATAGCATACTTTGTGTTCTCCGTAATAGTAGGGTACCACCGAGCCCTGTAACTCTTCAAGTCCGTTATAAGCCAAGTCCTCGACGCCATCCAGTTGCCTAGGAGACAAATAATCAAGGAGGGATATGTCCAGTAGTCTGAGGATGTCGAAGTAGCGAATGCTGGAACAATTTCAAGACTACCTATCCCAAAGATGCCTCCCAATCCGATCCAGGTTTCAGGTTTATTTTAACTTCGGCAACCCACACCTGCGAGTATTGGTCCGGCTTGCATTGAATACCGCTCCCGATAATGAGCTGGAATGTCCCTCCCTCCATAGCGAACGGCGGCAACGGTCGATGCCCCTGAGGGGGTCGAGGGTCTATGGTAGCTTCAAAGACAAGACCAGGGTGGACAGGATTAAAAAGGTACTGTAGACGGAGATTATCTAGATCATCACAATACCGTTGCAACTCATTCAGATCTTTGGGATTAAAGTGGAGGGGAAACTTTGGAATGTAGCTTTTGAGCCATTTCACAGTGTCGGAGGGAGCAGTACCCACCCTGGCTTCGTAGCTCTAGTGATGATTTTTCAGCGGAGTTAATTTAAAGAGACCTTCCGCTCTGTAATCAGGCCGTGCTTCCTATCGGCAGAAGCAACCTGGTTTCGTCTGATTCTCTCTGCGCTTTACGCAGAACTGAATGGACATTGAAAACGGGACACTTGATAATGAACGGTGGATCTTCGGAACTACAAATCCGGAGGTTCGCGTACGAAAATTTGGGACTGATATCAAGGAAGTGCGGAGGTGATCCGTTCCGATGAGTTGGCCTTCCACTCTTTAGGGGCGATTCTTGTTTGTGCTATTCATTATTGCCTCGAACCTGTTGAATATAGCGCGCATAGGGGTGTATGCATACGGAACCACGCGTCCCAGTTTCCTTCTTTTTGAACTGCTGCGGGGATAAAGGCAACCTCGGGCTTCTTTGGCTAGATCAGTACGAACGTTGCTGAATGGAGAATGTTGAGCATCTGAACTTTCCACAGTGAGGTGACAAATAATGAAGGATAGCATGTATTTGGGTATAAATCCACGAGTCACGAAATGATGGTAAGGATAGATAGCGATACGGATATGTACATGAACGGATAGTAAAAGCGTTGATGTTGATAGAGGCGGTAGGAGATCTATGAATTGCTATTAAGGTGCTGAATAACCAGGACGAAGAAAGAGATACGTACCAGCATTACACCAGCTCCATGACCACCTTCCCACCACCTTGAACGTCAACTTCGACCTGCTCACGGCAACCCTGCACGAATCCTCTCCATTCCTCGGGCCAGGTTTAAAGAACAAATTGTCGTCATCTTCATTATCGCTAAGGACAAAACACCACTTAACCGGCTCTTGCCTCGCGAATCTCTGCTGCTTCAACAGAACGTATTTCTTGATCGGAGGTGGCGGCAATGGTGGAACATCTGGATGAACCCTCTTCACAAAGATATCGTCCATGGCGAGACATGGCGAAGATCTCGAGCAGGGCAGAGTCGGTAGCGAATGAAGCGGACGGCGCTTATTCTACCCTATTCGGAAAGACGAAGCGCTCGAGGGTAGGACACGCAGTGGCTAGACGAGCTGCGCGTGCACGTTCGCTCACAACTATCGAATGGCTGTAGCGTTGGAGTCAGTGGTAGAACGGATAGCGGAGGCATCGGAAAGAGTGTCCTCCGGCTTGGCATGGTGGGCGCAGAGAGAAGTCGTGTATGCGTAGGTATGGCCGGAAGTAGCGTAGACGGCGACTGGTCACCATCATTGTCTTCAAGCAGCGACGGAAACCGAGTAGAGACGACATTAATGAGGTACATCTGGGCTTGCGGTGATAGCCATACAGGGACGTGGAGTGTGTGTGTGAGCGATGTGCGGTCCCATAACGCGTCAGGATTCTGCACACCAGTCATGGTGGGGGCATTGACATGCGTTGGGATTTGCAACTTCAAGCTTGTACTAGGAGATTCCCGAAGCTTCGGCTTACTCATTCATCACGATACTTGGATATATTTAGTACTTTAGGTAGAATATTCTAGATACTTTTCGTAGTATATAAGGAGCTTATTAGGAGCTCTTTTAGCTAACAATTAGGTATTATTCCTACTGCAAGCCTCCCACTGTCAGAGTGCCAACAACATGTGCAGGAGGAATGAGAGGATCCCAGTCACCACTTCTACTGGTAGAGGTGGAGTGTTGTATAATGGTTTTGGCGGGCGGTACGATGGGAGAGGAGGGACCTGAACACAATATGCATGCTCCTCGATCGAGGGCCCAAGTCCAGAAGGCCTGCGAATATCATCCATTGACGACTCACTCGATGACGTAGGCACCTTACTCTCCTCTTCCACTTTCTGACATCGACTCTTTCCACTCGTTCCACTACGTGATTTGACGGCTTAAGAATCGTCGACATCCTTATCATTAGCCAGCGTCCTGTTGCAGCGTTGCGAATGAAGGAACATGATTGTCACCTTGCAACCACTGGGAAAAGCGAGGTTTATCTCATCTGGCCATCGGAGGGAAAGGCGCCAACGGACGTACCAAATCCTAGAACTAGCGGCGACCGCGTAAGAGATGAGACGAACGAGCGAGCCAGGTACGATCAGGGCTTCTTTTCGGGCACGGAGAATTCTGCGTTCGCGTTTGCGTGCGTGCGTTTGCGTTTAAACGCATGCGTTTGTCACGCTTGCGTTTGCGTGTGCGAACTTGACAAAGATGCGTTCGTGCGTAATAATACTTTTAAGTACTTTAGCTATCAAATAGACGGAATGTAACAGTCTAACGTACTCGTAAAATATCTCCGCACCGTACTTTGATGCCAACAAGGTCTCATCCCATAGAAGGACACTCTCCCCGATTAAGTGTGAACCCACCTGATCACTCATGTCGATATTTCCCTCCGGAAAAGACGTCTCGAGGGCTTCCAGGGATATTGGACTAAGTTAGAGGAATGAAAATAGTATGAGCAATATAAACGGATTGGAGGAAAGAGAACCAGTTCAAGGTGTCTCAGCTAAATCTTGGTAGGTTTCCACAAATTATAGTGAGATATATATATCAGGAATCCATTGGAGAATCTCTGTTAAGCTTGGAGAATGTAGCCGAGCACATATGAAGTGCAACGGGAGAAGCCACCACAGTTCAACTCGAGTTCAACGCAGCCTAACGCAAACGTGACACGCCGTCACAACCATCGTCACATTTGCGTTCTCGTTTGCGTTTTGTCTCGAACGCATGCGTTAGTTTGGGCAACGCATGCTTTTATTACAACGACGCTCGCGTTCGATTTAATAACGCATGCGTGACTTATTTTTGAGTTGCGTAAGCGAGTTGCGTCGATTCGAGAGGTGCACACAAGTTTTTCGGTTTACCAAAAGTCCAAAAAATGCAAGGGTTCACAACTATTTCAACGCGAAATGATACTGAAGTAAGATGATTATGTTCTAAGACATATACTAGCTAAAATCCACGCCTTTATGGCTTTCAAAGACAGTTTCACACTGTTTCTATGTCATAGAAAGCTCAAAGAAAGCTGCCGATACATGTCCAGTAAATACGTCGAAAGTAGGTAAGTGCGTCATATAAATACACATGGTAGTATTATTCTTGAAGGTAGACTAACTATTAGCAGGTCACGCACTTGAACGCATCGAAGGAACGCAAACGCATCCGAGTTGAACGCATTCAAGCGCAGTTGAACGCACGCACGCAAGGGTCGAACGCAGAATTCTCCTCGCCCCTTCTTTTCCAAGCGTCCTGCCTTAAATCTAGAAAGTTACGTCATCGGGCCGATCTCACCGGTGTGATATCTCCGTCTGTGGTCTCGAAGTTCTGTCACATTCTCAAGTCGTTATATACGTCGTCTCCATTTCCTGATGAGAGACGATAAAATACCACTATCTTATTCATCGAAATCAGTTACTATTGAGTCACTGAATTACGGGCAATACTGCATCCTTCCAGTTTGGTGAAACGCTGCCCATTATGACCCAAATCTTTCCTTGGTAATAAGTATGCGTAGTACATCCACCATAGTAACAAATTTCTAACTACTGAGCTTCATCAGTCCTCGCGTACTCAGGAATACCTACACAGTATCAACTGTTCGGATGGAAGAACTGTCCGGGTCATTGTTCCTTGCAGGTCATTGTTCTCTGCCACACCAGAAAGCTGAACGTCCAGAACTATGAGCTGTGAAGAATCGTCTGACTCAAGTGGAACATATCTTGTCGAGGTATCGATTCCTGACATCGACGGCATAGAAGATGCATGTGTCGCCGGGAAGGCTTCAAAGAGTAGACTGGTCTTCATTGTAATTTGTGAGGACGTACTGACAGCTAAAATCCCATGAATACCTTGGAACCCGGTATATCCCGCTCAGTGATTCTCGTTATTATGCGCTCGGCAAGGAATTCCTTGCTCGTTTGGGTCAGGGCGGGATAATGAAGGATGTTAAATGGTGAAATAGCATGCGTACTCCTCCTCGAGTACAGCAATACATCAGGAGCTCGAATCTTATCCGTCACACTCCGAAGCTCCAGCGCTTCGACGCCGATTATCTTTTCAAGGCGAAGAAACTCGCACATTCTTTCTATGTCTTATCTACCACCTCCTGACTCTTTAGAACTAGTATGTCTCAATGAGCTGAGCTTCAACGAGGATCAACGTAAAGGGCGTCATTCACTTCGACGTCTGGAAAGTAATCGTGATTATCACAAAGGACTGGCATATCATTATTATCTGATTTAGGTAGGTGTATTTGTATGTGTAATTAAGAAAGTGAACGTCGCTTTTACTGCTTGTAGAACTGCTGTGATAATAACTGCGCAGCGTTTCAGAGATAATCTGATTGGACTCGGACGGATTGCTCATTTTATTTTACCCCCCATTACGTCCTGCGACAGCAGCATCCGCCACTTCTCTGTGCAAATAAAGCTTCATTTGGTGAGCGTATATATAGATTGCAGAATTCTCTCGGAAACAAGCTTCTAACCTTTTTTAGATGAGGCGATGCGCAGTGGCAGTAGGGATGCCCGCGGTACCCATATACGGGTACGGCCGTAAAGCTTACGGTCTGGTTCAAATGACCATTGGATTGCATCCTCACTGGCTCGGTGACGATTGTAATATGCAATATCACAGTGCAGGAACACTGGTCTCAGAATCCTATAAATTCAAATGAGGGAGTGTTGGATTTACTGTGGCTGTACGAGCCGGAGGAATCAACCGGCTCCGAACCCGTTACGTACCGTACCCGCAGTTTTCTTTTCTTTACCGTTTACCTCCACGTCGACGTACATAGGCTAAACGAGTTGCTCTTTCCGTTCCCTCCCGTGCTCAAATTTCAGCAGGGAGAAGAGGATACATGTCCGTCGTTTCTATTTGTTTCCATGGTCGTAGCTGCAAGTCCCAGAGCCTGGCGATTGCTTCCCAAAGTTGGCTCGTCCATGCCGGCTCATGTCTCAGGAATAGAATCTATGTACTGCAATAGCCAATCAATTGTTTACGGCCTGTTGTGAGCCGCAGTAAACTTCAATTTAGATTTCCCTTGCATGTGAACGTGTGAATCTTGGATGTCAGCATCGCATTGATAACGTCCACCTTCTTCAAGCGATTTCCTCTCTTTCCCCCTGCAAGTGCTCATGATGGACAACAATACACCCTCCGACATTCAAGACAACAGCGTACAGGATCCTGTTTCCAATAATGAAGGGATTGGAATCGGTGATGAATTCGATGTCTCCCCACAAGGCTCCCAAGAACGAGCGGGCAAGGGGGGGAAAGTACAGTCTTCAGATCCTTATGCCCACACCAGTACGGCAGAGAAGGGGAAGAATGCACCTTTTCCTGAGGGATCCATACAACGTCGAGCCTGGACAGAAGGCCCACCTATATCTGCTCCACCGCTGCAATCTGCCAGCGCACCAGTGGCAATGCCAACCTGTACGTATACTTCGTTAAGCCTTGCATCCGTGCTCTTAAATGACTCCAGATAATTCTGAAAGATATCCACCGAGTCCACCTTTTCAAGAAGCGGGACCAAGATCCAGTGTTTGGCGAGCCTATTTGGATGAAGCATTGATTTACGACACCGATATGGTCAAAAACAAAAGAGCAAAAGTGAATATCCTCCTTGTGTTTGTGAGTTAATTCAGTGAAGTGTCAACTGTATCACATCAATTTATTTTTCTCTCGTAGGCAGCACTATTTTCCGGGATTGTCAGCGCCTTCATTGTGCAAATCTTACCAGACATTCAGACACCCTTACAGGCAATGTCCGCATCAGCCAGCCGCAATGATAACACCACATCTAACGCCGAATCCACTGCCGATACCTTACACAAATGGACTTACATTATAAGCTATTTGTGGGTTGGAAGCTTGGGTCTCAGTCTTGGAGCTGCATCAGTCGCCTTTCTTATAGATGAATGGTACTACCATTATCTATCGCCCATTGCTGGAGACCCCCAAGTTTGCTCTCGTATTCGACACTTACGTTTCAACGGTCTCCTTGATTGGCACGTCAGCATGTTCGTTCACAGTCTACCACTATTTTTGCATGCATCCCTCGGAATATTTTTTGTCGGCCTTTTCATATATCTCTTTCTCGACTCAAATTCTTTCGTGATAGATGGGGTAATGGTGGCAATATTTGGCTTCTACCTTTTCATGAGCCTTCTTCCCCTAAAACACCCGGATTGTCCATATAGAACGCCCTTGACTTTGGTTCTCTCTGATATCAAAACGTGGATGTATCAACCAGCCACCGCAATCCCGAGGGTTGTTTCATCACCGAAAATCGGGGCTCTTCCTGAGGTGGAAAAAACCAAAGATCGCAGGCACAGGGAAATGCATGCTGCCGAAAAATCACGCATCAAAATTGAAGTTGATGCACTTCTTTGGCTGTATATGAGGTCTTCGACCTTGGCAAACCGTTATCTCGTAATCCATGCCCTTGCTGGATTGCCCCCAGAGTACATCGAGCATGCAGAGGAGGTTTTCGGCCCTCACTGGGATGAAATACGGGATGATAAGGAAAGAATGTTGATGGATTGTATGGAGCAGACCCGAGATGGATCGACTCGGTGGATTCCTAAGGATATTCCCAATATCGACTGCCAGATTGAGCCACTCCTGCGGCTAGAAATTCTGTTCCCTGCTTTATGTCGGAAGTTCCCATCCGGACTCTTCGGAAAGCACAACCTAGTTTTCTCAAGGGAGCTCTCCAATACCTTGTCAATAACTCTGCATTCCATCAAAGATCCACATATTCAGAAGTCTAAGGACATTCCTTCACAGAAGCAAGTCGCCATTAACGCTTTAGCAGACAATGATGTACACCATCATGTCATCTGGAAGAAGCTCCTAGGCTGTGATACAGTTAAAGCAGGCTTTTTTCATGACGAGAACAGCTTTCTCACCACCGATATGCGTCTCAGCTTGATAGAAAACATATATTCTCCCAACCAGTATCCTTCCATATCCTACGGCTGCACATTGGCGGCTACCTCAGTAAAACGTTTTAAACAAGACATTCTCCAAAGTCTTCTCTCCTTCTTCGAGAAACCCGATTCATATAAAGGCTCAGCAGATCCCGAGGAAAGACTTTTGCTTGCCATCATAGCCCACTCGATCGTTCAGGTGGCGCAGCTGACCCCTGCGAACGATTCTATGATCACCACGTACAAGCTGTTGGGCGTTGCATTGCATGCGATAGACAGAAGAATTCATTGCCTCACCGATGAGTCTTTGAAATCGTGGCAGACCGATGCTTTTCAGGCGATACTCTCCTACATCACATCTGATTTATTCACCGGGACTTCTGTGAGTAATTGGGAGGATTCAGAGTTCAAGGACCTCTTTTGGACCTGCCGTACTCATGCCCTTGTCTGCATGGCTTCGCTTATAGATGGATGTCCTGACAACTGCGATGTTGGACCCGTCACCAAATGGGCTACAACGCCCGTAGTTGGAAATATCCTTTCAGTCATTCAGGAGGAAATTCCAACCAATGCGTGCAAGTCCTCTGCCATCGAAGTCTCTCCACTTCGACAACGACGTTTCGACTCTATAGTGAGCGCAGCTAGCTTTTTATTAGGTCAAGCGTTCTCTAGAGGGATCATCGACGCTTATGATGCTTTCCGGGAGAAAGACAGTTTACATTGTATCACTCAGAAAAGTAGTCTCCACCCAGACCTGGTCGAAGGACTGCTAAGGAGTTATTTCATCGGGCTCTCTGACGGCAAGGCGGGGAAACTCGGATATATTCAATCGGACAGGTCTTTTGATGAGAGTATCAAAAACCTCCATCAAGCACACGCCATTCGTGATGTTTCTGCGAGCATCGTACGCAGCGGCGCCCGACCATATCCTATCTTATCCTCCCTGGCTTCGATTGATCCTAATCACTCTAGATGGGATCAAATCTTGAGCATATTGAATTCTCTAGACGACGAAAGTTCTACTGAGAAATATGTATTGGGCAGCAACACATCGTCAGACGATGGGAAACGCTTGAAGAAGACTATGAAAGAGACTGTCCATATTCTTGAGATGTGTCTTGCAGCGGAAAGGGATCGCGCGAATGGCATCACTTGGGTAAGTGGAAAATACGAATCCTTCAATCTATCACGGAGCTGAATACTTTCACATAGTTGTCGAAGATGTTCAAGTACCACACCTGGTGGCTCAACATTCACCGTGGATCCAGATTGCGAAAGGGGAAGAAAAGTATACCGGACCTCGAAGGCGGACATTGAGGTAGCGCAAAAATCTGAATTTCTTAGAGGCTGCTAACTACCTCATTCTTTGGATTATTTGATCCTTGTTTACCTTTGCCTTCAGACTGCTACGTATTTGCCATTCTCGGGTTTTCTTCTACTGTAACTTTGATTTCTACCATGCTTTCATGTCTTTGGCCTAACTTGCTCTCGAAATATTGGCTGATTTTTACTTCGTTATCGGGCTCCCATGGTGAAAAGCAAAGCTTGTGCAAATCCAGGACGGAGAGTTCAAGTATTTTAGCGAGGGGAGATGAGACGCTGAAATTTCGAACAGTGAAGACACGATCGTCAAGTACTTTATGGATGAGTCGGCATTTCAGGAGAGTCGAACGATGGCCGATACGCTTGAATGGGATTTACCAGTAGCTATTGATTTATTACAAGGCTACCGGTACAGTAATTCTAGCACACACGGTCGACGGCATTCATCCCATCCTGCTGGTGGCCGAATACGAGCGAGATATCACCGCACAGCTGAATAGGGAGCGAAAGTAGCCAGACACGCATTTTCCTTCTGCTCGCCGATTCTTGTTTCCGCCATTCAGTGGTAGCTTCGAACCTTTTACCAAAGTCCTATGGTTTGTATATCCTTCACCTAGTACTTTCCTCTCTTTTGTACTTGCCACAGGGAAGCGGCTCGAATGAAGAATGTTGAATAAGTCTATGGTAAAGGAATGAAGAACGGAGACAGCATAGTAATTGGGTATAAATCCCCGGCACTGTTAGCACGATGCTTGAATAACAAGATGGAATAAACGGCAACATACCAAACGCTATACCAGCGCCAAGACCATCTTCCCAGAACCTTGAACGTCAACCTCGACTTGTTGGTGACAACCTTGCGCCGAGCTGCTCTCATTCTTCTGACTCGGTTTGAAAGAAAAAAATCGTATCATTAAGGTCAAAACACCGCTCAACCGACTCCGTCCTCACAAACCTCTGTTCCTTGAACGGAACAACTTCCATAGTTATTCAGGATCTATGGAGACTCTGCAATTCGTAAGACATCGCCTCGGGGCATGGTCTTCTTACGTCTTATGGTTTCAGTCTACGATGCGCACGAAAATTCATTGCTGCATTTACCTCTGTATGATCTTCCCCAGATACAAGGATATCTAATTTCTCGTTGACATTCGGTATGAGGTCTATCCATTCAGGATGATTCCCCCCGCCCGTATTATAAGAAGAGATATACATCTTATTTTCAGTTACAGCACTTTCCGATTTCATCATCCCCTCTCTACGCGTGGATGTTCCATTCCCATCAAATTTCGTCTTTACTCATTTATCGCGCGCAGCACCTCTGCGAAGCTTCTCACCTTGATGCAGCTGGGTCGTGATATCAGGGGCTTGCTACTCGTCCCTTCATTGAGAATCTAACTCACCCGCAGTGCATGGGAGACTACTCGTTCTCATCGTGGCTCGTCAACTCCCCACTGACCTGCCTCTGTCTCTCATCTCCCCCTACCGTCAACTTAAAATGCTGGGCTTACCTCATTCCTCGTATCTAAACGCGATGCACGTACGTATTGGCCTGATTTCATCTAGTTTGAATTCACCACCGTTGACTCCTCCGTAGGGACGGCAATTCAGACTCACGCCTGGTGATGATTCTTTGGCCGAGGCTGAAGATTCGGTTTTGTTCTTCTCGACAAACGTTCATATTCGTTTAGAGCGCCCGAGGCGCCAAAGGATTTCACGGTTCAAGTGTTAGTTTTTTGGATCGGAGAACTTTGACTTGTATCTATGCCCTCTCAGCTTGCAAAGGACACGGCTGAGTTAGCCGACCCAATCTCGCCGCAGTATCTTCGCACTCTGCCTTGCATTAGACGGGAACGAAAAAGAAAAAGAGAGAGAGACACCCTCTACACCATCGTAGTTCAAGTTCGAGATCGAACGTGGAGAGATGAATTCGGGTGCCAGGCCCGTTTTAGCGTAGGAGCATGCATATGTACCCTTCCATACTAAGCTTTTGACTTGCCGCCAGGAAGATGTGAACACTGGGTATAAATCCACGAGTTATGAGGATACGTACTTGCAATGGAAAAGTAACAAAGGAGAAAAAGCCATTTAGCAAACCCTAGTGAGCGGTGAGGTGGAAGTGATCAGCGTGCCGACGTGGAGAAGGCAGATGTGTCTGTGTGATGAGGAACCGCCCACCCAGCGCGTCGTGGGAGAGAACGAGTATTCGGGTAAAGGCGGGGCCTGGGCGGAATATGCTCATTTGTGTCTTAGCTGCCTTTTTTTTCCTTTTCTTTTCCTGAATTCGTACCCTTGGGAACGATACCACGTCACTCTACCCAAAGTGATGAATCCACGAACCGTCGTGGAGGGCAAGTTCCCCGGGCGGTGGACGGGTTTTTCTTTCAATTTTGCGCACATCACATCCTCGCGTTCACTCACACACGGCCTCCTCAGGGAGTCGACGTTGAGAAGCACGAACTAGGAAGAAGGATGTGTTTGAAGTCGGAATTCGCGGTCACAGTTGGCCAGGGTACAAGTCGGTCGGGTCTTTGGGTTCCGACGCAATCTCTGGTCTTTTTTTGGGGAGCTGGCAGGGATGGTCTCTAAGTGAAGAGTGAATCGAATATAGCATGGTAATTGGGTATAAATCCACGAGTAAGGAAAGGAAGGTAAGGATAGATAGGGATAAGTATATGTACACGAATAGGTGATGGTAACTATTGAGGCCACTATTAGTATGATTCCTCAACAGCATAGAAGAAAAAGACAAACATACCGAACGTTTACACGAGGGCCATGACCATCTTCCTGGCACCCTGAACGTCAACCTCGACTTGCTCATGGTAACCTTTCACCGACATGCTCTCATTCCTCCGACTCGATTTGAAGAACAAATCGTCGTCGTCATCGCTATCATTAAGGACAAAACACCGCTCAACCGGCTCCGTCCTCGCGAACCTCTGCCCCTTTAAAGGAATTTTATTTATCCGGTCCGGCACCTTGCAGCTGGGGCGTGATAATCAGGGTTTTACTACTCGTGGAATCTAACTCTCCCACAAGTGCATGGAGGGTACTTGTTCTCATCGTGGTTCGGCAACTCCCTATTCCCGACGCCTGACTTTCCTCCGTCTAAACAGAATCTCTTGCCCGTCGACTTTTTTTTTCTTTTCTTCTCGACAAACATTCATACTATTCCTGAGGCCGAGTGCCTCGCTTGGATGGCGCAAATTTCACGTTCAAGTGTTGGTTTTTTGGATCGGAGAACTTGAATTTTTATCTATATAGAACAGTGGCCCTCTCCAGCTTAGCCAACCCAATGCCTCCGCAGTATCTTCCCACTCAGACATGGGAACGAAAAAGAAAAAAGAGAGAGACACCCTAGCCGATAGTCTCTCCAGCAACACACTCAAGTTTGAGATCGCGAGGGAAGAACGTGGGGATGAATTCAGGTGGCAGGCATGTTTCGGCGGAAAAATATTGCCCTCGGAAGAATGAAGAATGTCGAGGTGAACACTCTGTAATTGGGTATAAATTCCACGAGATAAGGATATACGTTACTTGCGATGAACAAGATCAAAGAGAAAAGCCATTTACCATAGAGAGAAGAGAAGGAGTGTAGGAAAGAAAACACCTCAAATGGAGAAAGGCATACGCGTCTGTGTGATGAGGAACCCACCCTCCCGTAGCTAGAGGCGGGAGCTGAACGCAACTCATCATTCCCGCCTTTTTCTTTTCGTGAACCTCGTACCCTTCAGGACCCAGCACGCGTGTTGAATCCATGGGAGGTAAACTAACTGTTTCGATTCCAAACGCGTTTTTTTTTTCCTTCTAATCTAGCTGTCGGAGTTAATTTTTCACTCACTCAGTCGTGTACATCGCATGAGAGTGGACGCTCGTTATCAGGCCAGGAAGCACCGTATGATGACCACGAGTAGAAAGAAAGGAATCGGTCACAATTCGCCAAGGAACACAGTGCTGTCCCGCTAATTTTTTATTTCTGGCTCCCAGTTCAGTGCGAAGATTGATAATTGAAGAACGTCACAGTGAAATGGCGAAGAACGAAGTTAGCATATCATTGGGTATAAATCCGCGAATAAGGGAAGGAAGGTAAGGATAGATAGGGATAAGTATATATACATGAATAAGCGATAGCCTTGAGGGTAACGATAGATGAGCTATGAGGAGGTATTAGCATAATTCTTGAATGGCGGGAGGGAAAGAACGAGTACGCACGAAGTGCTATACAAGCGCCATGACCATCTTTCCAGCACCCTGAACGTCAACCTCGACTTGTTCTCGGCAGCCCTGCATCGAGTTGCTCTCCTTCCTCGGACTGGGTTTGAAGAACAAATCATCATCCTCACTGTCATCAAGGACAAAACCCCGTTCCACCGGTTCCGTCCTCGCGAACCTCTGCTCCTTCAACAGAACCACTTTCTTCGGAGGGGGCGGCAGAGGAGGAACGCCTGGATTAACCCTCTTCACAAACAGATCGTCTGTGACGAGACACGGCGAGGATCTCGAGCGGGGGAGAGTCGGTAGCGAAGGAGGCGGACGCCGCCACTCTACTCCGTTTGGAAATACGACGCGTTCGAGGGTGGGACAAGCGGTAGCTAGCCGGGCTGCGCGTGCACGCTCGCTCACTACCATCGAGTGACCAGAGTGACTTATAGTCGAGGACGTCGAGCGCGTCCTAGCTCGTTTCGGGAGAGGGAACCTCTCATCGAGCTCTTCCTTCGCCGTTTTCACTTGTGCGATCCCGGGTTTACGCATTACCAGTACCCGGAGAGCCTTAAAGTGGGGAACGACGTTACCCCAACACACCTCGCCACCCTCGCCTTCGATCTCGAGTTCTTCAATGTTAGGGCATACAACGACAGCACTACGGAGTGTCTTTTCTTCTGTGCGTTTACCCACGGACTTGAACACGAAGCGGAGACGGCGGACGGAGGGAGGGAGAGACTCGAGGGTGGAGGTAGGACGAAAACCTGCATATATTGGGGTGGAGATAGTTATAGACACGTCGATTAGAGGACGAGAGGCCGCGAGGAGCATGATAAGATGGGGCGGGGCGTGCAGCGTGGTAAGATTAGGAAGAAGAGTGGCCGCTGGATGCGTGAATGTATCCTGAGTCGGCGTTGGAGTCGGTGGTAGCGGGGATAGCGGAGGCATGGGAAATAGAGACAGCCGACTAGGTGTGGTGGGCGCGGAAAGAAGCCGTGTACGCGTCGGAGTGGTGGGAAGTGGCGTAGATGGTGGCGAGTCATCGCCATCCTCAAGCAGGGACGGAAACCGGAGCGAGATGACATTAGTCTGGCCATCCAACCACGTGAGAAGGTCTGCCTCGGTCTGCCCGGAGAGGTGGGTGTTGCCAAACTCTATATGACGCAGACCAAACGCAGAGTGGTGTCGCACGATGTGGAGATCGAAAGAAGGGAGAACGAGGGAGTGGAGATTGTCCATGCGGGCGAGGACGCGTGGTATGAGGTACATCCGGGCCTGGGGTGATGGCCATGCAGGGACGCGCAGGGTGTGCGTGAGCGATGTGAGGTCCCGTCGTGTGACGAGGAATACCCACAGTGCGTCGGGGTTCTGCACTCCTGCCATGTCCAGGTTGCCGTATAACACAGCCTGGGCTGCAGAGAGGAAGTCACGAGAGAGTAGGGCGAGTGCGGGTACCGACGTGCGCGGGAGGAACGAGAGTATCGCAGACAGCACCTCCACTGGCAAAGGCGGGGTATCATACAGTGGTTTTGGCGGGCGGCATGCAGGGAGAGGCGGGACCTGAACACGATACGCATGCATGACCTTTGCATGCTCCTCAATCGACGGCCCGAGCCCAGACGGCCTACGAATATCATCCATCGATGACTCACTGGACGACACGGACACCTTGACCTCTTCCTCAACTTCTGACGCCGACTCTTCCACAACTCCAACTCGTTCCACCACTCGTTGCGACGAAGGCTTGCTAAAAATAGTCGACATCCTTTTCATCAACCGTCCTCCAGCTTTGACTGGTGTTATCGTCGTGGCAGTGTGTCGACGCTGGAGGAACATGGTGGTCTCTGAGACCCTGCATGAAAAAAGGACAGTGGGAGAAAGGAAAATCTAGAGTTTTGGCTGCCCTTGACGACAATTGATGCCGTTGATACAGATCGCATGCCTCATGACGTCAATTTCATTTATTCCGCGGATCCTTCCGAATTTAATTTCCACGGCCCCGTCACCGCAAAGCACTAAGAATCGAAGTTGTCTTCTTGATTTCTTCCCCCCGTCTACTTGCTTTCTGTCCTCGATGCTCAATTCATGTAAATATCGCGACGTACCTGTCGTCCCCCTCAATTACCTATGTTTTCTGTTCTTCTGATCCTATCTTTGATAACCTCGCCCTTTTATGACAGCCGGTATTCTGGATTTTCGGTTACTTCGGTGCTTACGGTTACGAGCCTGTCTATACCAAAACCGTGCTGTCTTGTAAAAATAGCCTTGTGAACCACTGTGCGCTCATTCTCACGGACTAGAGTGGTCTTCCCTATCGTGCATCTCTCTTCACAGGATCATCCAGGATGAGTTCTCCGCCCGCCATAGACTCAAGAAAGGCCACAGCGGCAACGATTCTCCTTCCCTCTGATGTGTTCCGCGAAACGCGTCATATCCCACGGTATATTGTTCTTCATCCTTCGCAAATACACTTCTCTCACTAGTACCCATCCCAACGCCGCCAGATCTCGTTTCTAGGAGGTTACCCGTCCATCTCCGTTCCTCCCACCCCGACTAAACAGACGCTGGGCCCATCCATCCATCCATCCATCCATCAAATAGGTTCAGTTCCGTTCGGGGGCGACTAACTACGGTTCCCGCTGAAATAATGATAATCTCTTGTCTCTCATCTCAAGCATCAGGACCCCCCTCCCTTGTCCTATACGGAAAATAAGCTCTACCTGTCATCGGGTGTCGTCCTCAATCGCCAAAAAACCTACAAGTCATCCAACGGATACACTCCTGTTTATAAAACTGTCGACGAAGCAGAGGGTTTATTCTCACCCTGGGCATGGATATCGCGCTCAGTTGAGAAGGAGCCCCCCATCTCTACTTCTCGATGGGCGCACGAGTTCTCCTCCTTCCTTCCGACCATGCTCCAACTCTGAATTTCTAGGGCCTAGGCGGAGCATCACAGTTGAAGGATTCCCGTTCCAACGAAACGGGATCTCCCGTCTGTTATACCTAGGTTGGATTGTTCCTCACTTATTTAAACAAGACGCTCTCATCCATCCACCAAATTCGGTTTAGTTCAGTTTATGGAGACTTGAGTTCCCTGTCGATATCGCGCTCCGCAACAATCAGGACTCCTTCCAGGGACAGTGGATACTAAATGCTAAAGACAAGCTACACATCATCAGGTATTCAGCGGAATTATCCTTAGTCGTGAACAGAAGCCAAAAAAAAACTTACAAGTCGTCGCACGGATAACATGTAAAGCATATCCGATTTCTCTCACTAATACCCCTGCGAACCGACCCCGATACTTCAAACTCGGCCTCGTGGTCCGTATATGGGCGCCCTGGACAACTGTTTTTCTCTCTGCAGTACTAGCAATACACCCACCCCCTGATGATTATCCCCTTTTTCATCTCTTAAACACATCCACTCCTCTCCTCTACCAACACGATAAATTCCTACACGGGCTCGATGTTAGATGATCTATACGCAGCTCTGCTTCCCAGCCATTTGGATTTCCTCGAATATTACTGTCGACGAAGCCTAGAGTTTATTTTTTACGGCGGGCATGGGGACTTTCTTTTCATTCCGTTCCTGAACAACTCGGGAGTTAAGAAGAAGAGTCCGTCTCTATGTATATACTTCTTTCGACATTCGACTCTGATGGATATTTCAAGCGTTGCCCAGTTATTCGAGCGCGGTTCTCCCCTTCCTTCCGAGGCGCATATCTCTCACGTAGACATCGCTCTAGTCGTTCTTTGCCAGCGAGTAATGTAATCCTCTTTCACACTAAGCTGTTCTCCGAAATAAATTTTTACTGTGGTGTGGACAAGTACGGACGTATTCAGTGGATATAAAATCGCCCGCGTGTAGCTTTATCTATACGCTATGTGTCTATAGATTTCGCGGGCACTCCCACAGCAATCTCTCGTCTCGTCTGAAGTAAGAATATTTGAGGCTCCT